GATATCTTTGAAAGGGACCTGGCGTGTACAAAAATATACAAGTTGAGGAGTTTTTTTTTAAAGCTCGGAACAAGGACGAGGACTTTTTTTGTAAGCTCGGCGACCTTTTTTTTTTAGAAGGACGAGGACCCTTTATATGCCGGATCCCGTATTAGCATCATTGTCCTTTATTCACTTTTCAAAAAGGTGGCAACCCTAGCTATAATAGTCCTGGAGAATACAGACGTAAAACGTAAGAATATCATGTTTGGTAGACACTGCCTTGCTACTTGACAACAGGAGGCCAGTGAAAATGTGGATATGTATTTACAATTACTACATCAACTCGCAAATGATTGTGATTTCAAAGCTGTTACAGAGGAATAGAATAAATATTGATGTTAACTAGTGGATACTGTTATTTTATCTGCTATTTTGGAAAAAGAAAACTTGAATGACTTTTCGTAATACTTTAATCAAAAAATTATTTTATATATCAATCAATATTAAAAAACCTTAACTACCAGAACAAAAGCAAAATACAAATCAAAGTAATAGTCTGTAGATAATAAGGGTATTTAAATGTAGATACATCAACAATAAAAATGAGTAGGTATATAAGAGACGCTTTCATATCAGGTCTTTCTTCAGCTCCTATTCGTCAGCGCCTTTTAGAAAACTCTAATGTTACTCAAGATGAAGCGTATTGTCATGAAATTCCTAAGCCGACTCTGTCTAAGCAAGCGACCTTCACGTCTGTGGCACTCGACTCATGCTCGAAACAACGGACTCTTCAAGGTATGCCGCTGAGGCTCGAGAAACGGCTAGAACGGACAGAGAATGCCGTTGAGTCAGACATGGAATTTTCGGGAGCGTCTAGAGACTTCTCGTAGCAGAGTTGGACTTGGTATAAATAGCCGGCTCATCGGCGGACAGTTTAGTTCAGTATAGAGTATTGGAATGAAAAGTTAATAAATAAATTAGAATTGTTAGTGTCTAAGTATTATATAAATTAATTAGTACGTCTTAAATAAATTATAAATAGTGTGTTTTAACCCGTAACTGCTATCGATGGGTCACTATGACCCTATATATAATTGTAAATAAAACTCATTTTAAATACAAACTGGGTATTTATTAATATAGTTATTTTTGTTTGATTAACATAAGAAAACATTATAAACATACAAAAATTTGTTATTGACATTTTGGGCACACTTTAATGACGCACTGCAAACAAATCGGCAAATGGCAGAGAGAACAGCATGTATTCGTCTTACGGTCTTTTTTGGAGGGACAAATTACACATCTTTTACGTTTTGATATTTCTTGCGTTTGGAGGGAAGCAGGCTTGTCTTCAATTGATATGCCAAGTATTTCTGCAGCAAGATTTCTAAGTTTACGAAAATCTCTGTCTCTGTCGTAAACGCTATCGATGGGTCACAGTAACCCGCCACTGTAAATATCTCAAAATCTAAATAAGCGGCACAACCACAATGTATTCCCCACTCAACCATTCACTGCTGGGTTCTAATTAACAGTGCTGTTCCTAAAGTGGCGCTGGGAAACAGTAACAAAGCCTGCACAGAACACGAGGCTAATGGCCGTACTAGTCGATACCGAGGACACCAAATTAAAAAAAAATGGCTGTTGTTTTACAAATTTAACGTTACCAGTTTTGTTAAATTTCAATGATTTCCAAGGTAATTAGTTTATCGAATAAAACTTATGTGATTTTTTAAACAGATCTAATTTCTTTTGTAGGTTTCATCCGGCAAGTGATCCTTGTTGTCTTATAATAACTAACTTTAGGAATTTATTTACTAATTACTAATGTTATATTATTTATGATAATAAATATCAATTAAAAATTCATTTTGTTTTATTTTGTAATGTTTTGATATTACAATTCTCATTAATTTCAAAGCCTTTTCCTATTTGGCTGAATACGAACCTGACAACTGTCAAAATTTTGTAGAGTCGCCATCAAATTTTATGTAGTAATCTTAGATTAAAGAGACCGAAGATGTAACATTGCACACTGCGCATGTTGTCTATTTTAAGCCAAAGTAACCCACCAATTGAAAATCATTGTTGCACGACGCCACCCGAATTGCTCCGATTTCCATTCAGCGATCACACCTCCACCTGAGTTTAATCACCATTGACAGCTGTTTTTTGATTTATTTGTTGGTATTTTAGCAATTTAAAGTGTTCTAGTTATTCAATTTCAAGTTCAAAATGTCACGATGTATCTTGAAAAATTGTATGTACTTATAATACAAGTACTACTGTTATGAATATATTCGTTTTCAGCGGTAAATATTTATTAACGTTTTGACATAAAGCGCCATGATTCTCTGGGCTGAATACTTCAGATCCGCATTAAGGGGTTTCAATAAATATTAAGCATCACAAACTCAGATTTCATATTACTTACATAAATTTACAAAAGGGTAAAATTTTGAACATTTAATTTAAATAAATAGTAAATAGGCATTATTGCTAACGAAATTTTGTATTTAAAAAGTAGTTTTATAAGAATGTTTTCTAAAGGTAGTTTTTAGCCCTTTTTGGTAGATAAATAAGAGGTAAAGAATCATAGTTGCTAGCTAAATTTTATTTTTATAAGGTATTTTTATAAGAATATTAGATGAAATACAGGATGACCTACTTAAAATTTCAAGGTTCATCTTATTTGCGGTCAAATCGAAAGTGACATTGAATTTTCAGTCTTAAAACAAAGTAATCTAGTATAAGCAAAAAAAAATACTAAAGTTACAGGAGTTAGGTCCGATTCCACCGTTGTGTTAAACGGAGATTAAAATGACAGTGTTAATGTAAAAATATCATTTTAAACTTCGTTTAACACAACGGTGGAATCGACCCTTAGTCACGTTAATAAAATGTTACATTACAAACCCCCAAACAACTCAAACACAATTTTCGTTTACTAAAAAAAATCCAAAATTTAGCAATATTTATTTATTATACAAGCGAATGCGATTTCAAAGATAACTGGATCAAAAAATCCGAATCTCTTAATTTTGGAGCTAAATGCTCAGATAAAAGCAAGCGACCGATAGGGGTTACAAAAATAATCGATTTATCGATAATTCTGATATTTTTTAATGAAAATCGATTTATCCGCTGTTTTTAATAAATTATTTTCGTTTTTTTTTTAAGATAATGTATTAATCGATTTTAAAGAAATACAAGAAAAGTAGATTTATTCAAAATAATCGATTTATCGTTTAATCGATTTTTTAATTATTTGATTATTTTCGATTTTTCAAAGATATTATATGAAAATAATCGATTGAATATAATCGGTTATTTTACATAATCGATATTTTGGTTATTTTTTTAAAATTATCGATTTATTGGATAATCAGCTTTTTAATATAATAATAGAATAATCAATTTCAAAGGAAATATGAAAAAAGGATTATTAGAAAATAATAGATAATTCGTTTTATTTTTTGGAAAATCGATTTATCATAGAATCGGCTTCTTAATTAATTGGTTATTTTCGATTAGGCGATTATTTTGGAATTATTGATTATTTTTGATATTTCAAAGATAATCGAATTATCGATTTTAAAGGAAATACAATAAAATAGATTATTGGTAATAATCGATATATCATAGAATCCGCTTCTTAATTAATTGATTATTTTCGATTAGGCGATTATTTTGGAATTATCGATTATTTTCGGTATTTCAAAGATAATCGAATTAACGATTTTAAAGGAAATACAATAAAAATAGATTATTGATAATAATCGATTGATCGAAAATAATTAATTATTTAAAATAATCGATCATTCTGTTTTTTTTTTAAATCGATTTATCAGTTAATCGACTTTTTAATTAATTGATTATTTTTGATTAATCGATTATTTTCGATTTTTTAAAGATTATCGAATAATCTGTTTCCATGAACGAAAAAAAATGGTTTATTTGAAAATAATCGATTATTTAAAATAAACGATAATTCTATTTATATTATATTTTGTAAACACTGATTTATCGGTTGATTGGCTTTTTAATTATTCGATTATTTTTGATTTTTCAAAGATAATCAAGTAGTCGATTTTAAAGGAAATGACAAAAAATATATCGTTTGAAAATAATCTATTGATCGAAAATAATCGATTATTTTCAATTATCGATAATTTATTTCGATATTCACTCATCCCTAGCGACCAAATGACTTTTAATAGATTTATATTTTAAAATGTTATCTGGTTTCAGACATATGCATTTCTAGAGTTTTATGTGACTCATCCTTTATAATAATTAATATTCTTAAAGAAAGAAGCCTTAATATACTTTTTTTGAGGTTACAATACAAAACAGCATTTTCTCATTTTGACTAATTTTTAATAATATGTAATAGCCGTAGAAAAAATATAATGTTCAACTCATAAGGGTAGATTTGCAGTATTAGCCTGCGCACATGCTATTTTTATAATACTCGTAGACAATGAGTAACATTTTTTGCTCTATTAACAATATATTCTATTTCAACATTTTACTGTAATCTCTTGCAGAAAAGTCCGTAGTAAATAAACGCTAACGAAATATTCTATAAAAGGTCTTCTCTTTACATAAAATGTCGTGGCATTTGTTTGATATTAAAAAATCACGATAATTTGATTTCATAATACAAAATTCGATTAAACACCTTTTAAATAAACCTAATAGTTCATTAAGATGCTAATAAACAAAGTCCGGTCCCTGTCACAGAGTTCGGGTCGCCGCGTGTCGCCGCCCAGTTCCCCCACTCCGTTAACCCTTCTTTAGAAATTGACAACATTTGCGCAGGTTTAAAACCGGTGTATGTTATATCTCTGGTCTCTTTTATCTAAGGTAGTAATCAAGACATGCCGAAAACATGATATTACGTCATATTTCGTGACGTGCAACTCAAAGGCTATGCAATGAACTATATATGTAACTATTATATAATATTTAACTTAAGGGAAAGTCCAATCCTGCGCCTTTTTTTAGTTCTATTTTGGTCATTAAGTTATGATCAGTTTTTAAATGTCAACCGTAGAATGGAAGAAGAAAACGTACTGCATGACATGTAAATGAATGTAAAAATTGAACCTTTCATAATGTTAAAATATATGAAATGTCTCAAAAGACTTTCGCCCATGCTAACACACAGACAATCATCAAGGTGCATCCACATATGTTGGAAATCGATCAAATACCTAAAGTGACAACAGATCGACGCCAAGGAACTGTTTTAAGTATAACGCCAAAACCTGACAACAATTTTTACTCGTTGCTTCGCTATACCCCCTATTCAGATATAAAAGAAAATAGTATACGTGTATTAGATATTCCAAGATTGCCGAAATTGCAGTTCCATTCTATTGCAGAATCAGAGGAAATGGAGCAGAGAGCTAGGGAGTTCAGTCTAGCTGACGATGATGGCGTTGGATATTTATGTTGTTCTTTGATTAGAAGGGAACTATGCCATAACAGAACCTGTTTTTTTGATTCAGAAGCCCAAACTGATGTTTCCGTTGTTCCTCATGTTCTACTAGATGATAATAACGTCGCCTTTGTATTTACTACTAGAGGAAGTCAGACTTATGATCATATACATAAATAGACGATTATTTATTTTTAGTTTTAAGTCTAGTACCTATTTTGAATTAATTAAAATAAATTAATTTATTACATTCACAGATTTCGAAATTGAAAATATTAGTGGTATTCACATTTCTGTCATTTTTGATTGTTTGAGATAACGAAACTCTGAAACTCTAAAGAGCTTGCTCAGGGTATTACGGCTATTACTTTTGCAGTGGTGCCCCGGGGCGTTTTACAGATGATTGATGGTGCCATTTGACTTACAAATGATGAAAACCGGGAAAACCCCACCCACCGTCATAATAAATTATATACAGTCTCGGCTATTGAACACCTTTCAATACGGTTTTCTAGTGTCGAAGCGAAAACTACAGAGAATTAGCATTAGTGCAGACAGGAATCGAATAATTACAACATTGTCGTGTGCGCTGTTTAATGTAAACAACGGCGAAATATATTTCTACGCGGCTGGCTGGCTACGTTGATATTATTCGTTTCCTACTCGCCATATTTTTTCATTTGGACATACGCAAAAAATATTTGAAAACGTTTGATAGCCTCTGCATAATTAGAAATAAACATTTGAAACAATCTTGCTCTCCTTTTTACTACTCCGTGTTTTTTATTTTCCCTAGATAATCTATTATAAATACCAATTTTCACGTTTTTAACATTATTTTTGTTTCTGCGATTAAGCTTTTTTTTAACCATTAAACCTCCATCAACATCCCCTAAGGGACGGAAATTTCAAAAATAATTTTTAGTGGGTATTCATCTTATAAAAACATTATACCTTACAAACTTCATACTTTTAAGTCTAACGATTTGGACTATGTGATTATATATATCGGGACGATGGTGTAGCGGTCTATCGCGCTTATATTCATTTATAGGCAAGTTTATGAGTCTGAGACTGCTGGGTTTCGAATCCCAGACCAGACCATGTGGATTTTTAATTAAATTGCATGGTTCGGTTTAGGATTTGATGTGTGGCGTATTAATAGAAATTCAATTTCTGTTGATATGACATGCAGATTAAAAAAATTCGCCATACATTACCGTCTCGATGATGGTGGGTGAGGTTTTCCGGGTTTTCCTCACCTGTAAGTCAAATGGCACCATCAATCATCTTTAAGTCGCCCCGGAGCGCCACGGCAAATAATAATAATAGCCTTCCCTTCCCCTACACAAGTCGTTCAGTCGACTTCATGGGTTGAAATTCACTCGTAAGGGGGTGAATTAGGGAGAGTATTATTATTATTATTATTCACTGATCTGTATTATTTTACCTTTCAGTGTTTCAGTGTTATTATTATTATATATCATATAGGTAGTAAAGAGGGTAGTCGCTACCCGTGTACTGAAGTGGTATCATCTACGCCATATTGTTATAACCCTAAAGTAGGTAATTTGTGACATTTGCCTGTTTTATTTTTTGGTTCTTTTTATTTTTATTCAGTTTTAGTTGAGGTACTTCTTATAATATAATAGGAAGGTTGAAAGTGCTTGGAAAACACATGACAATTTTTTTTCGACAGGCCACAGGCTGCTGCTCACTTCTGATAAACCTCTAACCGTCGAGGAAACAAAAAAAAGTATTTTTTAAATCCTTTTTTTTTTTATTTTTACTGTTACATCCGTAAATTGCAGACCGCATTTTTTATTAACGTTCTTCACTACACATACTTTGATTACTATACGGTGCAAGAGAGAGGTCCGACACGCCCAACCACATACTTTGATTACTATACGGTGCAAGAGAGAGGTCCGACACGCCCAACATAGGGCGCGGCCATTTTGATTCCTATGCCACAGTTTATAGCTAAAGAATCAGATCGCTCACTCTGCGTCGGCACTTTTGATCTCAATGTTCCAGTTTACACACTACGCAACTCGGATAATACAATATATGACAACCTTCTATAATAAAACAGCAGTCTTCTGCGTATCCTGAATTTGTATCCCTGGAGAAGATGTTATTTTGGAACTTTCAACTGGTCCGAGTGAGCTAACTGATTCTTTAGCAATAAACTGTGACTCCAAAAATAATAATCACTGACACTGACAGCAGCAAGCAAAATATCAGGTGCGTTTTAATCATCCGCTTCTGCTTCCGGAATTGTAGGTTTAGTCGTTTTAACCTGTCAGATTAAAACAAGAAAACCGACAATTCCGAAGCAGAAGCGGATGATTAAAACGCACCTACTAAAAATATTGCGCCAAGATGTAGGCAACACGTAATAAGGGATCAAAATGGAGGAGTTTTCTATCTCCTTTTAAAAGGCACTCAGAAAGCTGCGCAGTGCGACCATTCTATCCGTATAGTAAAAGAAAATCAAAGTATGTGCGCCCAACATAGGGCGCGGCCATTTTGATGCCTTTACCATATTTTATAGCTAAAGAATCAGTTCGCTCACTCTGCGCCGGCACTTTTGATCTCAATGTTCCAGTTTATACACTGCGCAACTCGGATAATACAATATATGACAACCGTCTATAATAAAACAGCTGTCTTCTGCGCATCCTGAATTTGTATCCCTGGAGTGGATGTTATTTTGGAATTTTCAACTGGTCCGAGTGAGCTAACTGATTCTTTAGCAATAAACTGTGACTCCAAAAATATTATTATGTGACACTGACAGCATTAAAAATATTGCGCCAAGATGTAGGCAACACGTAATAAGGCATCAAAATGGCGGAATTTTCTATCTCCTTTTAAAAGGCACTCAGAAAGCTGCGCAGTGCGACTAGTATAGTAAGAGAAAATCAAAGTATGTGCTAATACCACACACAAAGAACAAAGTTACCAGCATAATATAATAAAAATATCAGCTTAAAATGTTAGAAATCACTATAAATGACTTATAAACCACTGTTATATTTACTTCGCAACTCTACACATAACGTCAGCGTTAACATGACATTGCTGGGGATAATATCATTCATACTTTGATAAAGTATGTGATATCATTACATATGTTTGTGCCAACTATGAAGACTAGAGATAAGGAGGCGAACTGGCATACTCAAAATACGGTCCCAAAAAACGCACGCTAATTGAGATTTTATAATTAACCGCATGGGCGCTGGTACTGCTTAGGGTGTTCAAAATCACATACTTTGATTTTCTTTTACTATACGGAGAATGGTCGCACTGCGCAGCTTTCTGAGTGCCTTTTAAAAGGAGATAGAAAACTCCGCCATTTTGAACCCTTATTACGTGTTGCCTACATCTTGGCCCAATATTTTTAATAGGTGCGTTTTAATCATCCGCTTCTGCTTCGGAATTGTCGGTTTTCTTGTTTTAATCTGACAGGTTAAAACGACTAAACCGACAATTCTGGAAGCAGAGGCGGATGATTAAAACGCACCTGATATTTTGCTTGCTGCTGTCAGTATCAGTGAATATTATTTTTGGAGTCACATGCAGTTTATTGCTAAAGAATCAGTTAGCTCACTCGGACCAGTTGAAAGTTCTAAAATAACATCCACTCCAGGGATACAAATTCAGGATACGCATAAGACTGCTGTTTTATTATAGGCGGTTGTCATATATTGTATTATCCGTGTTGCGCAGTAGGGTAACATGGTCAACAGTGAATCAGTGGTACACAGTGAACCATCCCTACCACAATGTCATTTATGGGTTAAACTTTTATTGCATTTCATCTATTTGTAGCTAACCACACTGCCTCTCTGTCTATTTAGTGAGCGACTTGTATCGGCGACGATTAGACGTGTTTTAAGGTTAAGTTTTGTTTTGGCTATACGTGGAAAAAAACTAGGTAAGTAATATTTTGTCAAGCATGTTCTTATTATTGATTTTTAACTATTACTTTCAATTCAGATATATAAAGTGGTTATTAGTTTATACAATAACGATTAAAATGATTACATAGTGATATCTTGTAAACAGTTATTGAATTTCAAAAGTAAATAGATCAGGTGGTACTCAGTGGATCAGAAGCTTGTGGTACACAGTTGATCATGATCCACTGTGTACCATGTGCTTTATAACAAGGTTGTGCTAATATTATTTACAAATTCAATCTTGTTTTTATTTCAGAATGCCACGAAATAAGAAAGAAAAAAGAAAAATAGGTGATCACACCAAAGAAGCAATTGTCGTCATGTAGCCTTTGAAATGGCAAGGTATAATAATATAAAAATGCCTTCCTCGTGGGAAACGAATCAAATAGCAGGTATTGACTGGCTTAGGGGTTTTCGGAAACGTCATCCTGAACTCTCACTTAGAAAACCAGAAGCATGTAGCCTTGCGAGAGCTACATCATTTAATAAAGAGACAGTGACGAAATTTTATGATAATCTCGAAAACGCAATTAAAAGAAATCCAGCATTTTCCGATGGATGCAGAATATTTACCCTCGATGAGACAGGCACAACCACCGTGCAGAAACCTCATAAAGTAATAGCCCTGAAGGGCCATAGAAACCTTTGCAAAGTTACCAGTGGCGAAAAAGGAGTTTTATGCACAACATGCTGCATCATAAGCGCTGGAGGGCAGGCACTTCCTCCAGTAATAATTTTCCCACGAAAGAAGGTAAACCCTAGAATGGGTATTGGTACTCCACCGGGAACTTTGATTTTAGCGGCACAGTCGGGTTGGATGAACAGCGATTTATTTGTAGATGTTATGAAACATTATATCAAGCACAGTGGTAGTTCATTGGAAAATCCCAGTATTTTAATAATGGACAATCATGAATCGCATCTATCCATTGAATCGTTAGATTTGGCAAAGGCAACCGGTGGATTGTACTCACATTACATCCTCATACTTCAGCGAAAATGCAGCCTCTAGATGTGTCAATTTTTGCACCATTTAAGATTTATTATCATTCTGCCATAGATTCTTGGATGATGCGTAATCCAGGACAACCGATTACTATTTATGATGTTGGACAACTAATTGGAATCGCATTTGAAAAATCCATGACACCATCCAATATACGTCAAGGATTTAACAAGACAGGATTAGTACCATTCGACAGACACAAATTTAAGGACGACGACTTTTTGCCTAGTACGGTAACAGATAGGCAAAATCCAGATATACTACAAGATACTGAAGAACATCAAACTGCTGAAGTACTACTGGAGAAAAAAATTAATTTAGCTCCTTCGACATCAGCAGGCCCATCAAAAGATTGTCAAATATTAACTCCTGATCAATTTAGACAGCCTCTAAAAGCAAAGCCAAGAACTGGGAAAAGAAAACCAAGAAAGTTAGGACGAAGTTTAATAGCTACTGATACACCGGAAAAAGCAGCAATTGCAGTCGAAAGGGAGGCTGCTAAAAGAAGAAAAGAAATGAAAGGTAAAAAAGGTAGTGTTCGTAAAGTATTGCAAAGCGATTCAGAAGACGAGGAAGAAGTTGTGCTGCATGATGAATCTGACGATGATGACATTGATTGTTTTGAAGAGGAAAAAGAAAATGATCAAATGACTTTAACTGAAAACTGCTTGACTTTAACTGAAAACTGCTTGTAAAATCCACTTTGTCGATCACCAACTGTGGGGATTATATTATTGTGGAATTTAACACAAAAAAACAAAAAAATTTACTACGTAGCTAAGGTATTAGAAAGTAGAAATACTTCCATGGAAGTGTACGTTAGTTTTTTAAGGCAAAAACTGACCAACTATTTCATATCCCCAACGTCCCGGATTTAGCATGTGTTAATGACCATGACATAAAATTTATTTTACCGAAACCTACAGTTACTGGAAGTACTGCAAGGCAACAATCTTGTTATAAATTTCCCATTAATATGTCAAATTTAAATCTGCGTTAGATTATTTTAGGTATATTTATTCTTGTAAATGAGAATTTAAGTTTTACGTTATATTTACCTATGAATAACTTTTATGTTACTTTTGTGTTTATTTTTTGTTGCTTATTCACTGTTAACCAATGGCCGATTCAGTGTGTACTAACTATAGTACACAGTGGATCATTTTAATTTTTTTAAAAAAACTAAGACAGACATTTCAAAAAAATTTCTACGGTGTTCAATCTAATATAAATTGGACACTAGACACTTAAGGCAACCTGTGCTCGAATTTGCGACAATTCAGGCGTTTAACTTTGAAGATAAGAGCAAGTTAAAAAATACTGATTCACTGTTGATCATGTTACCCTATATAAACTGGAACATTGAGATCAAAAGTGCCGACGCAGAGTGAGTGATCTGATTCTTTAGCTCTAAACTGTCTCATAGTAATCAAAATGGCCGCGCCCTATGTTGGGCGTGTCGGACCCTCAGAGTAAGTAAGTAGTAAAGAGAGGACAGTAAACAATGTTTGTGTCGCCATGATAATATGGTCGAGAATTCTAATTAGAGAGAAATAGATTAATATCTCTATATCTTTGTTTGTATTTGTCAGTTTTACAAAGCTTTTCTCAGACAATTATGCCAGTGTTTAATTTAAATTTGTTCGTGTTGTGGTGTTAAAAGTAATTGTTATTAATATTATATTCATAACAAAAAAGTCATATTTTGTTTTCACTTCATTAAAAATGCACCTACCTACCTTTTAAAACATTTTATTTTATATTCTACTTGGTCAACATTTTCGCATTTAAAATGACCCAGCGAAAGTGTTTTACGGTACGCTACTGCTGAGAATTCTAAAACGAGTGAGAAAGCCTTCATTAGAAAGAGAGATACTGATTATATAATAGCGAGATTAATATTGTATAACTTTATGCAGTGGTGGCCTATCTGCTATTATATTATCTAAGGTCAGACCTCTCTCTTTCCCCGTATAGTAATCAAAGTATGTGGTTCAAAATACATGCCTTCTTATGGGGATTATACATAATTTTGTCAAAATAATAAAAATAAACTTGTTTATAGCTAAATAAAGCACAGAATATATTGTTGTATTTATTTTTAAATAAGTCTTGCATTTTTAAATTGATAAATTATTTACTTTTATCTACAGTGTGTCTACTTAAGTTGGAACCATATGGAAAACATTTTTATTATTGATTTTAGGAAAAAAAGTTATTCTTGATGAAAAGTTCTGCATGACCCAAAACCTAAAATACAGTCATCACATATCAAATTTTTCAAGCCGTATACGAGGTTTGTCAAAAAATATGAATTATGCTCAAGAGTAAAGTACGTTTATTTTTGACAAAATCGAAAATTTTCATTAAGAAAAGTTGATTAGAATTGAATATTACATTCAAATATGCAATTACACCGATCTATCTGAAAAAACAGATTTTCTTATTTTTTATAAACTGTACACTCTACACATTGATTGTAAATATCTGAAAACGTTATAAATTACGTTAGCTACTATAAACATGATACGCTTTCCTTTTGTTGATGTTTTTGAAGAATTTATCGGCTTGAAAAATTTGATATCTGATGACTGTATTTTAAGTTATGGGTCATGCAGGACTTTTTATCAAGAATAACTTTTTTTCCTAAAATCAATAATAAAAATGTTTTCCATATGGTTCCAACATACTTTGATTATCTATATAAAATACAAATTAGGTGGGTATGACCAAATTTGAGAAAGTTTGTTAAATGCTGAAATTTGATAAGTACAATTTTGTGGCATTTTTTTTTTGAATTGAACCTATAGGTATATATAGTTTTAATCGCAAAATAAAACAGAGTTAACAGATTTTTTTATTGTTGTAATACAAGTATAAAGGGAGATTTAGGAATGTACATGATATTACCTCATCCTTTAATTTCAGCTTTCCCCTTTTTATTTTGCTAACAGTACCATCAGTAAAAATAGTCTCATAATATTTGATATCTTCTAAAAAGTATAAAACAGCATAATCTCTAGAAAGTGCTTTATCGGCACTAGGAACTATATATATATATGCTGCCACTGTTCTATGCGTTTAGTATCCTATAAAAACATTTACAATGACACAATTGGGGTTAAACAAAAAAATAACAGTAGCAACTCTTTATCTAACATTAAAACTCTATAAAAAATAAATTTTCTTTTCTAGTAAGTTAAATTTAAAGTATAATTATTGTTGTTTGTAAGTCAGGATCTATGACTGTAAAATTTTATATTATAGTAACTTGTAATAAAATAAACTAAACTCCGTAAAATACATATTGTAACTAGTTTACAATAAATATTAAATTTAGAGATAAACACATTATTATACTTACATTAGAAGCTTTAAAAAGACATTGAATTGATTTCTCCTTGTGTTTTCTTTGGTTTTACATTTGATTTCTAACCTGTTTTACAGTCTGGAACGACGTAAATATTGCTTTGATGTATTTTGTCACTCATGTTACTTGTACTCAGGTACTTTTGTTCACATTATTTTGATTCTTTTCATCAATTTTTTAAAAAATCACTTCATTTTAAATTGACACCGCTGTTATTCGACATGCCAACTACAGTTAATTTCGCGAACTTTATAAAAAGAAGGACGGAAATTTGAAATTTGACCATTGCCGATTCGCCTCCTTCTCTCTAGTCTTCATCTTCATATTTGGAACATACGTTTCGGTCACGATACTTGTGTATTGGGGATTCGGCGATAAAACGCACGGATTATAAACCTAGCTTTAATCTGACAGACATCATAATAAAAAATAAATTTTAAATAATCGTAATATTCCCTATGAGTAATATGATGGAGGTACGTGTAACTCACAAAGATCGAATAGGTCTATTACCAGCCAGTTCTATAAAAAATGGTATTGATTATAATTTAAATACTTATAGAAGTGCTGGAACTCCTGCAGACACATCAAGAACCACTTCTACCATACAAGTAAGTAAAACATACCCATTTGTTATATCTACTATTCTAGATACTTTTTTAAATGTATTCCATTTCCTTTTCTTGATTTAAATTCCAAAATAAACATAATAATTAGTAATATAAGTTTGGCATATATAGATAGATAAAATACAGACCCATTAAAAACCTGTCATGAAACATTCTAACATAATTTTTACTCTAATTTTAAGGACTCTCGTGCAAAGGGTACCATCCATTATTTATCTCCAGCTACAACTAGAACTGTAACTGAGCTCGAAGGAGATTTGTACTATCAACAGTTTGTGGAATTTCATCCGCCATCCATACTACCAGTCCCACCTGCTGAGTATGCCAGTTCTTCGGAGTCTTCCATTTCTTGCAGAGAAGCTGAATTGCAAAGAACCTTAGCTATATTAAAACCTGATGCTATAAAATTTAAAGATGTAGTCATTAGAGCTATCAACGAATCTGGATTGAAAATTTTGCACGTAAGTTTTAAGTCTAAAATCAAGAAGTTAGATAAATTATGCAAATAAATTAAAATAATCCTGGATATAGTAGCCCAAAAGCAATTAATAGGTACACAAAATGTTTCTAAATGGACACCAAATGAAAGAATGGATAACCAAGAAGATTCTCTGGATTATTAATGTCCCAGAAGTAATGATGACAAATAAGAGTATATTATATTACAAACAAATGATTGGTATGACAGGAAAAAATTAAGTAATGGAAGCGAGCTGTAGCTTGGACTCATATATACAGATTGTTTTTCTGTTTTTCTTGCACTCACTTTTACAGAACTTACCAGCAAAAATAAACCGCCAAATATTAAATGAACTCACACTTAGGTCTGTATTTATAAACAGAACTCAGCTGAGTCTGACTTGTATCTCTAAATTACAGTGTAACACCGGATCCACCTGGAACTTTAGAGACGTTGTAACCGAACTTCGGTTTTAGTTCAAGGACGACTTAACCAAGTCCGACTCATTCTGTTTATAAATATGGACCTTAGTTTCGCTCGGCTCAAGCTGCACAATCATGATTTGACTAACTATTGCTTTTCTTTCTTTGGTTTATGGTTGCCTTTAAAAAAGTCAGCATAATCTGTCAGAGTTATCTATTACTATTTGTTGTATTTCTTGACATAGAAGCAACTTTTGAAAATACCTCCTTTAAATCAATGGTAGCTGCCGCTCGCAAACATGGAATAGAAGTACACCATCTGCTGGTGGATAGAAGATATGTTACGCGGACGGCAAGTACAGGCACAAATGTTCAGTGAAACCATGCTGCTGAATATCCACAGGGGGTGCCCACAGGATGGAGTCCTTTCCAGTGGCGGCTCGCGGCTTTAAAAAATGGCGAAGAACTACTTAACCATATAGAACTAAAACACTTTCAACATTGATTTATTTATATTATTTATCTAGTTTTTGTCCACCAACTCGATTCTTCGGTCTTTTAGGGAGGCAAACCTATCAATATCGTCATAAAAAGGTTGTCGCCGCATAAGATCCAACAAAATTTCTATAGTGAGATAACAGTCAAACTGGAAAGTCTATCTTGCGAAATAGTATTTCTTGTAAAAGTTTTTAACCTTTTTAAACATGAAAAACTTCTCTCCACCGATACGCTCGTCAATAAACAGAAAAAAACAAATAAAACGTCGAAATACATATATAATATCTTTGCGCGATGCCGAAACAAAGATGCATACTAAAAATCTATTTTTAAATTGCCCTTCATGTCAACAAAAGTCTTAGGACGTGTTCCTGCTGACACGAGGCTGACGTCACGTTACCATGACAACGGTGCAGAGCAAAGACAAAGAAGCTTTGATACTGGCTCTTCACTTCACTTGCTTCACGGCTTGTTGGATCGTTTGTATTTTTAACTAGGGGTACAGTAAACGTCAAATCTAAAGAACCAAGAACGCGCATTTATAATAGTACGAACACGCCTACCGATGAATAGAATTGGTAGCTTACCTAGAAAGTTGTAAACCAGGGGAGCGTATATTTTAAGACATAAAATAAATGGAAAATAGTGAATGATACTTGTTCATACATATTGCTTAGTGTTATTATTAGTACATAATTTTATAGTCAATTAAAAAATCATTATTTTTAAGTAAGCCGACTTTAGGTTAAGGCTGTTCTACCGCTTTCCGTTCGGTATTTATATAAAATTCTGTTATGGTCAGGAAATTATCCTTATTCAAATAAATTAAATTGTGGTAAAATTGTATATTGGTCAAACGGGCCGTACTTTCAAAAAAAAAAGCTATTTAAAACATTACAATAGTTATACTAAAAACAAAAATAATTCCACAAAACATATTTTTATCTGAAAATAAATCGTTTATGCAAAAATTGTTTCACATTTTGAGAATAAAGGCATTAAATTAAACCATTTAGAAACACTTTGAATAAATAGATATATAAATTCATATATCCTCTTAAGTTATCAATTAGATATTAATAACAGCTTAATTAAATCTTTTTACCTGTTCTTAGTTTTCTGTGAGATAATCCCGGTAATGATATCTTATTGGAATTTTATTAAGATATTTCTCTTAAGTACCTACTTTAACTAATTAGTTTATTTTGTGTATATATTAGAAATGTAAATGAGTCACATTTGAAGAAGAGTTGTACTTGTCGTGCAATTTTTAATTTTTATTTCTTTAAATAAAAGTGTGAAAGTCTACCATGTTTGGTTTTTCTCATTTTAATAATATGGATTTTCATAGTAAAGTAAAGGCCGAAACTATCAAGAAATTAAAATGAAATGGTATTAAATACTTACCACTCCTGATAAAGCATTGTAGTTAACTTTTTATGAAATTGATATTTGCAAATTGACAAAATGTAATTTTAGTTCTAATTTTTTATTTAAAAAATCAGGCTGTAATAAAAATATTTCAAACCTACAGATTGTTAGGGTTTTCCTTCTGAATACCTCATTAAAAAATGAAATGGTTCCGATCATAAATAAGCAAGATATGAGGTAACAGCTAAAATAGTGTATCGCGAAAACAGCCTTAAGGAGAGCTCTGGTGGTCTAGTATTTTGTATTTTAACTGACATTAATTTTTTTATAAACAAAATATGAAATAATATGTGTATGAAGTAATATATCCTTCCGATATTTTAACATGTTTAATTTTAAATTATATAGCCTATAAGTATATACAAACAACGTAAACAGTAAATCACAAATAATGTTCATATGTCTTCGTTACATTCTTCGTTGGAAGAAGACTCGTCACTGTCGTCACTGGAATCCTCATTAGGATTAATGACGATAGGATTAATTTCCGAACATAAATCAGTTTGTATTTCAAAATATTTATCTTCTACCTTTATAACATGATCGCATCTCTTTTTCCATTCATCCGTACCGATTTTGTTAAATTCTTCTTCTGCTAATTGTTTTACGTCTTCTAATTTAAAGGTAACATTCCGTTGACTGACATTATTCTTAACAGTTGCCCAAATCAATTCGATAGGGTTCAAGTCGGGGTGATATGGGGGTAACCGTAAAACGGTGTGGCCGTATTCTCGACACAACTCATCAAATGCATATGTTACATGTCGGTCCTTATGAGATTTAATCAGTTCATATAACTCTGGTTTCAAACTTGTTGGATTAAAAGGTATGTTGTATTTTGTCAACCATTCGATCATATCATTCTTCAAAGAATTGGAATTAGGTGTTCGATTTGTCTGTACATTGTGATAACTAGCATTGTCACAAACAATTACTGAATTAGGTAAGATTAGGTATTAACTTCTCTCTTAACCATTTGCCGTACTTTTCCGAATTCATTTCGGAATGATAATTAAAGCCGACTAGAGGGGGGGGACTAATTCCCGGGGCCCGGGCTCAAATGGGGGCCCGGCAGAGGTGGTATTTGTTACTTTCAGAAATTTGACACAAGAGGAGGAAGTTCTTACCTTGTAGAGGAGAGACATTTTTGGTTGAGGACCTTTTTTCTGAGAAATTCAAGTAGATGAGGAAACATTTTTGCGTAAAGGAGGAGGAGAAATTTTTGTTTGATGACCTTTTGTTATTTAATGTTTTATAAAATTGTCGTGGGGCCCGATCTGGAGAATTGTCCTGGGGTCCGGTCTGGCTCTCGGCGGCCCTGATGATAATCTCCAGACTTGGTCCCTGATTTGAATATCAATAAACTATTTTTAAGTAAACAAACTTAATCATTTGCGCTGGTTCTTTAGATTTGGCGTTTACTGTATTTATATTATTACAAAATAAATTAAAATAATCCTGGATATAGTAGCCCAAAAGCAATTTATATGTACAAAAAATGTTTCGGAATGAACAACAGATGGAAGAATGGACAACCAAGAAGATCCTCTGGATTATTAATGTCTCAGAAGTAATGATGACAAATAAGAGTATATTACATTGCAAAAAAATGAGTGGCATGACCGGAAGAAATGAAGTAATGGTAGCGAGCTGTAGAAAAATCAATCTGTATATTTGGACTCATATATACAGATTGTTTTTTTGTTTTTCTTACACTCACTTTAACAGAACTTGCCAGCAAAAATAAACCGCCAAATATTAAATGAACTCGCAGTGCCCGCTCTAGTAGATAGAAATGTATTTTTATTTCACGAAAATTCAGATAATCCCATCGGCATCTCGGATCCTTCCAATATCTAGGTAATTAGACGGCATCCAATTCGACTCAGCCCACATAGATGATACATTATATTGTTGTACTGTAACGTGGTAAAAACTTTGAGATTTTCTCCCCTTTTAATATGTAGAAAGTTTTTACCTTTGTTGTTTTAGCTAGTCAAAATGCAAACTTATTTAGATTCGGTTTAGTAAAATTTATTTGAAGAGCTTATGTTCATTACTGAGAGATAAAAAATTAATATCTGCTTCTTTGTCTATAAATAATTCAAAATATTTTTTTTTTTGTTTTCTAGGAAAGAACAATTCATTTAACTCCCGAGCAAGTTTCTGAAATATACGCAAAACAATATGGCAGTCCATCGTTTCCTCACGTGGTCGTGTCCATGAGCATTTCGCCTATTGTTGTGTTTTCTTTAGCCGGAAAGAGTAGCATTGAAAAATGGAAATCCATGGTTGGACCGTATGGACTTTTAAGAGAGGAATGGTTCTTTCCTTACAGCGTTCGTACTCGGTTTGGTATTCAGCCCGACGTACCTGACATTATACACGCTTCAGAAGATTTGAACGAAGCCAAATGGGAAAATAGATATTTTTTTTCGAGAAGTAAGTTTTCATAGCTAGGGAACTGGTGGCAGAAATAATATATGATTTGCTCATAGTTAGGAATGATACAGATTTGAGATATGCTTATAAATATATTCTCATGAAAATATGAAGGGTAGAACGATTATTAATGAGCAGTAAAAGTTTTCATTTAAAATAAATAATAAAATCAACTAAACACTTTGACTATGATAAAAAGAAAAAAAAAATAAATGAGTAAAAATAAAAAGTATGGATACACACTAGGGTGTCATTTTTGAGCAAAAAACAGGCTTAAAACTTTCAGGAAGGTGAAAAAAGAAGACTCTAAAAATTTGAGCTCTTAATATTATCATTTAGTGGTGTCTGTTCCTAACTTTCCATTTTCCATCTAAATAACATGGAAAATTTTTTTTCTTTTTTCTTATTTTTGTAGCTTGACATTTGAGCATTGTAAAAATAAAGTGAAAAATGATTTTGGTAGGAAATTTTACGCTCTACAAAAAGTTCTAATTTATATTTTTTTTTTTTATAGAGTGAGCCGTTCTGAAGATATTCAAACTTAAAGTTGCAAATGTATGAAATTAGGACTTCTATTTTATCAAATTTTTAGAGGCTTCTTTTTCCACCTTCCTGAAAATTTTTAGCCTGTTTTTTAGTTGAAAAAAAAAAGTTGCTTAAAAATGATACACCCTAATACACACCTTAATAATGATGACATATGAGAAAAATCCACTAGATTAATATTTTGTAAAAGGAGACCAGCTCTCTTTGATTAATATTTTTTGACGCTGCCTGCATAGCAACGCTCGTTGTGAAGAGGGAATAAAAAGAGAGACGACGTAGACATCCCATACAGCACACATTATTTCAGAAGTGTTTCAGAAATATTTCAAACGTTTCTAACATATAACATTTCAAGCACAAGTTTCTGAAATATTTCTAAAATATTTTAGTTAAATATTTCACTGAAAATATTTCTGAAACATGGTGTACATGTTACACAAAAGGTTACTAAACGGGTTATGTTGTAAAAGGCCAACAATTAATTAAGACTTTCTGATTTGTAAGAAGATGGGATATATAGTTATTTTATTACATTATGTCTCTGTCCAGTCACCAGCTAGAAACAAGCCTATATTTTAAATAATTATAGATTTGCGCTGTTGGTTTTTGATATTCATGCGTTGTGAACTTGTTATATGGGAAGCAGAATATGTCTTTAGACATTAAGGTGAGAACTACATAAATAATGCTTACTTAGGTGGATCTTCATTTTTTGTTTAGACATGAGTATTGTTTTATTATAGTTAATTTAAAACAATATTAATAAAACTATTGTTAATCAAATAATTTGTATAAATCCTTTTTAATTACCTATATTTTGTTTCAGATTAGTGCATTTAAAGAAATTGGTGGAAATAAAGCAATTTGCCAGCTTTGGGGCTGTGCCAGTAAAAATACCATAACAAGTTACTCAACGTTTCCAGAATAAAATATTAGGGAACATCGTCGATGCATCCTGGTACTGCCGTAATACTGATCTTCATAGGGTTCTTAAAGTAAAGACTGTTTAAAATACAATACAAAAATTTGGCAGTAGTCACCAACAACGACTGCTCCAACATGGAAACTTTGAGATTATCCAGCTCCTCAACAATGCCGATCTAATAAGATGACTCAAGAGAACCAGGCCTTTTGAGTTAGTCCAGTGATGTAAGATTAAAACAGAGTATTAGTGCGGTTAAGTGTTATACGTTAACGGTAGTGTAACTAAATAATTAGACTCTAAAGTACACTATATAGTGAATAGAATCTTAGTTTATTAAGTTTTTCATCCCTAAATAAGTTAGGTAAAAATAAAAATGCTAATCGATCTTGATGATTAGATTATAATAATCGTAAATGTTTCTTTATTTGGAGTATTTATTAAAAAAAAACCTAGTTGTTTCAAATTAGTGCATTTAAAGGAATTGGTGGAAATGAAGCAATTCACTTCTATATTTTATGAAATATTCTTTAAAACATATTTATTTGTTTGTTAAGAATCAATATTTGAATTTTGTGTATTTTAAATAAACATATGTATATTTTTAAATGTCTTTTTTCTACTACCGTGCGTAAAGTAAAACTCTTTACGCACTAGTTAAAAAAAGTAAAATTTTACAAAATTTGTACATAACAACAAAATATAACGTTTTATTTTATATTAACATTTTTTTGCTATCTCAAATAAATAAATTATTTTTGCTTATATCTATTTAGTGTCCAACAAATTATCAACAGTTTATTTTAATTATAATTTTCTCTAAATGTCATCGATTTAATTAAAAGTAAACATACAGTGGAGGTCGATTTTGGTAAAAGTAAGTTGGCCGTGGCTGTGTGGATTAGAAGAACTGTCAATCTCTAAACTTTTAATTAGTACCCACCTTATAACAGAACACGACAAAAGTATACTTAAGTTCAAGATTAGATTCTAAAGCCAATTTAGCATTTTTTAAAACTCAATCAAGTTTGAGAAGGTAAAAAGTTTTACTTTTTAATGTTTGTTTACTTAAATTCAAATTTTATTTGCAGTTTATTATATCTGTCATAATCGATATGGATTCAAATTTATCTAGCGATAGCGAATTTGATAATACTCCCCCAGATATCTTATGCAGTGCACAAAAGGTCACGGAAAATTTATTGCCAGAAAAATCTGCATATATTTATCACAAAAAATACAATGCATTTATAGAATGGTGTAGGAAGAATAAGGTGACAAAATATTCGGAAAACGTTATTTTAGCATATTTCTCTGATGAATTGAAGAATTGCAAAGCTTCTACCCTATGGTCGATTTATTCTATGCTTAAAAGCACCTTAAAATATAAAAACAACGTTAATATTTCGAAATTCAACAAGTTAATAGCGTTTCTCAAACAAAAAAATAAAGGTTATAAACCAAAAAAAATCCAAAATTTTTGAACGAGAAGATCTAATTAATTTTCTGTTGAAAGCTCCAGATTCCAAGTTTTTAATGATCAAAGTAAGTAAATGCCTCAGTAAATGCTTGAATGCTCAGTATAAAATTAAAATATTCTGTAAAGTTTTGCAACGAGATGTGTGTTCGTATGGTGTGTTGCCTAACAAAATCAGTTGCTGTCCTAACAGGCCACCGGGGTTGTTAGGCAGCACATTATACCTAAAACTTTTATATTTTTTACAATAGCATTTATTTGGAGTTTTACATGCGCAACGTCAAGATATTTCCTAATGTTTAATAAATTATTTGTAACATTACAATATGTTATTTTTTAGGTAGCTTTTATAATTGGAATTGCGGGAGCTTGTCGCCGGGAAGAATTATGTAAAATGACAATTAACGATGTGGAAGATACACAAACAGTGTATATTTGTCAAAGTATCAGAAACCAAAAATGGAATAGAACGCATTTTTACGATTTTAAATCCAAATAATTCTGCAGTTGATTATTTATCTTTCATAAAAAAATATACCTCATTAAGACCATCAAATATAAATTGTAACAAATTTTTTTTTAAATTCGCAAATGGAAAATATTCTAAACAGCCTGTAGGGATAAATACTTTTGGTAAAATGCCAAGTGTCAACGGCTTTTACAGGACACTGCTTTAGGAGGTCTTCAGCCACTATGCTGGCAAATTCTGGAGGAGACCTTCTAACGGTCAAAAACATGGAGGATGGAAATCATCTGCTGTTGCAGAAGGCTACGTAGACAGCACAATAACACAAAAAAACAAAATTTCTAATAAAATTTTGATGGATGACAGTATGCCATCCACTTCCAAACAAAGCTACAATTTTACCGTTGACAACTCTAATGAAGAATTAGTGGAACCACTCGACAGTGAAACTAGAGTTATACAAAATATTTCAACCTCTTTACTTGAAAAGGCCAAATCCATACCACTCGAAGCTCAAAATAGGGTTACAGAAGTAATATCACAACATTTTTCAAACTCTGTGCTGGAAAAGGCCAAAACCTTAAGTTTTGGTAATTGCAATAATTGCACATTCAAAATTAATATTCATAAGAGTTAAAAACCTATTTTTTTAAATATTTCTTCATTTGTTAGTCATTTTGTTCTGTAAGAATTATAAATTTGTAAAGTTCCAATAAATTTATTTTTGTTGCTGTGTACAATTTTTGGCACATTTTACTTTTTTTCACTAGTAAAAAAAAGTGACTTTTATATTTCTAATATTAGTGGATTATGTGTACGGTAGTAAAAAAAATATTGTATGCCACTCGTGTGTAAAGTTCCTTTTTTGACTCATGTGACAACATTCACATTCGTCAAAAAAGGGTAACTTTACACACTTGTTGCATAAATAACTATTTTTAGTCTAAATAATATAATAGAAAAAAAAAAACTAGAATACATTTTTGAAATATTACTATTTAATATTTCTAAAAGATTTCTAATTTTCATGTCAAAAATATTACTGTGAAATATTATATTTAGAGGACATTTTTACGTTTCAGGCATATTTCAGAAATGTTTCGTAATATTTATACAACATTGCAAATGTTTCAATGTAACATTATTGAAATATTTCCCAAATGTGTTTGTGCTGTATGGGTTATTACATAAAGTGATCTTTTTCAGATATATTAGAACCTCTGGCGATAGACGAAGAAAAAGTGGCCGATTATGTTCATAATTGTGTAACTCCAATTTTAATGGAAGGATTAATGCAAATAGTAAAAACTAAACCTATTGATCCAGTTCTATCTTTGGCCGAATGGCTTCTGTTAAATAATCCTTATCAACCCAAATTTCCACATACAGTTGCGCTTAGTTCACTTTAAAAAAAAATAATAAAGATTATTTACTTATTTTTTATTTTTCTTAAACTCCTAGACTTAAATGAATACTTATTGTGATACTATCTAATCCGTTTTTAGCGTCTCCATTTTTATATTACCACCAAATACCTACGATCTGGTAAAAGTACTATCTGATAATGGTAAAACACACGGGGGTTTATATCATATGCAGAATACGTAAACACGTTTCTGCGCATACTCCTCCGCACTTGGGTGCTCTGAAGTCCGTTTTACAATAGCAAAATTCTATTAAAATGTAAAGCACATTGATTAATTTAATAACATCTCGTTCAGTAACACACAAAAAGTGTTGTTTCAAAAATTTTAATTCATATATTACAACAAACTAAAAAAAACATACCGTCACTTAGTTATTTGTACTATGTGAAGATGGCTTTCTGTCCGCTGCATGACTGCTGGCTGCCCGCTATAGCGGGCCCCGCGCGCGCTGTCAACAAATAACATCAAAATCAAACAAATGTGTGGTTATGTTATAATTTGGTTGTCGACGAAAACATGTGAGTGGAACTACTTTTATTTTTTTAGATATGTTATTTAGGATTATTTAAAATCAAGTAAAGGTATTTTGATGCTTTAACATGTCTTTACCAGGCAGAATTCATTATAAACGCATAATTTCTAATTGTTATAGTACATTTTATAAGGCCCATTCCAAACGTAAATTTTAAGAACAAACATTTTTAAATTTCCTTCTGATATTGATCAAAGAACGGAATGGTGTCGTATTTTAAACATTCCACTTACAACCCCAAGCATTATACATTATGTGAAAATCATATTTTGATACAAAATTGTTTACAAACACAAATCGTTCAAGACTGCTAAAAGATTTGCTTTACCTTGCTTTAGCATCCTCAAAACCAGATACACCAAAGATAGTAGTACTTAGTAATATTGTTATCACACCTCCAAACAGAGTCCTGTGTGGATAAAGTTCATTTTAATAATATATACAAAATTAATAAATAAAGCAGAATTTGAGTCAGGCCACTAGTTATGTTGCAGGGTTTATTAAGAAACTTAATAGTTTTGACTGCAAAGAGTGTAAAGTTAATTTACAGACATGTTAGAAGACCATCGATACTTTTACTTATTTTAAAGAAAATTATGATAAAAGATGTTTTATTTATGTACAAAGAAATGTTATTGAATTTCTTTCAAAAATTCTTGAAATAGTTTCACAACTTTTGGGTCATATTGACAACATAATTCAAATAATTAAACTTTTTTGCCAGACCATGTTGATTTTAAATGGTTTACATCAGAGGCGACTCGTGGCCTAGTAAATGAGGAGACTACTTTTAAAAGGCACACCCTATATACTTAATAAAAATATATGTCTATAAGAATTCAAAAAGCAGAAATATTACATTGTATTCTAATAGAAATATATATTTGTATAAAGTATATAGGATGAGCCAGCTTCCTCACAGACTAGGCCACAAGCCGTCTCTGGTTTACATATAAAGAACATAAAACAGACGTCTTTTCTCATTTAGTTGAAACTTGTCTACTATTAATAATAAGAAAGTATTATAATGATAGTATGAGGGCTGCTGCAATGTCTAAAAGACAAACAAAATGATTTGAAGTTACTGCATTTAATTTTTTTCTGTTTCAATTTATATGGATGGTTGCTTTTGTCTGATTTCCTAAGATTCAAGAAGAATTTGTTATTTCGTTTTTTGTTTATTTTAAAAATTTATTTACTTAGGCATTAGTTTTCATATCAAGTAAATTAATTATTTGTTATGCAATTTCTGATTTTTGTTAGCCAAAGATAGTCAACGTACCGAAATAGTAATGTAATGTTTGTGATATTAGAGTAACTTTCCTAAATAATCATTTATAAGACGTCCGGGAGCGGCATAGTAAATAATAATAATAATAATAGACATTCTTGTTTCGCATAAGCTCGCTTGTATATGAAAAATATTTTTTTGTATTGCCATCTCTTTGATATATTTTTTATTTATTTTTCTTGGGAATTTTTAGTAAATATAATTATATAAAACTTTGTATGATATTTATTTTATCCCTCATAATTATTTGTCATAGAATTTTACATTTTTATTGGGCATTTCATAATTGTTACAAACAGCTAATAAAAAAGGAAAATTTTAATTATAATTAAGAGGAAAATTTACTTAAGCAATTATCTTTTTCTAAACAATACGAAATAGAGCCACAAATATTTCTATAGTTTAATTTTACTTTTTAGTGAATGAAAAATATATACCTTCAGGTAAAAGTGAAATGTCTGTTTTTCTGGAGCCACTATTCCGAAATTTGATTTAATTATTTTCTCAATTTTTGAAATCTTTATAAAAACAAAATTTTGCGATTTATTGCCATCAAAATTTGATTAAATTTTGAAAAAGTGGCTCCAGAGGAACATATTTTAGCTACACGTACATGTTTTTTATTTCACTAAAAAATTTAAAAAATTACTATCAAAATTTTGTATGGCTATATTTCGTATTAGTTAGAAAATAATTGCAAAAGTAAATTCTTTAAAAAAACCCGCCAATTTTCAAATTAAATATAAAATTACGGGTAACTGCATTACCGACAGAGTAAGAGTTGATGGTAATACTGCTGGTAACTACATTACCGACAGAGTAAGATTAGTTCTACTCCTCCACCCCACAGGTCGTTGCAAGCAAACACGTTGCCAAATTTCTACAAAGAAACGGCAACTCTTAATAATCCTTCCTCCATGGTAAAACATATACTCCTGGTCCAGCGATTCTATACCAGTTCTTTATATGATACAGAGTGTTAGTATATTCGACCGATAACGTTCTGCGATGAAGTTTTATATAGAAACATGAACCCTTAGAGCTTGGTTACAGAGATTATTTTTAAATCAAAATTTGCCTTGAATCAAAAAAGTCTTTAAATATTTTATCAAATATGATCTACCAATCTAATCTCTACCAAAATCTATACACGAACTATATTAAAAATTTGACACTTGCTCAGGGTAACTGAGAGCCATGGTGGGCCCCGGAGCAAAACACTGACAAGAGCCCCTTATACATTTTTTTATAGAAGTATATTATTTTGCTGTTTTAGTTTAGTTTTAAAGATAAATATTGTCTAGTAAATATAAATAGTTATATCAGTGTAGTTTTGAATACAAATAAATTAGTTATAAAATAAGTTGGCGTATTTAGTGAATATACATCAGAACAATTAAACTATTTAAAATAAATAAACGTAACAGAAAATATAGTTAGTACGCTCGATTTACTATAAATTTAAAAAAAATAATTACTCTTTCAATTAATATTTTTGCACATTTTAGAAGTCTAAATACGTATTTCAATCCCACCCTTTATAGATAAATTCTATAAACTGTGTAACATTATAAAAATTACTATCTACCTTCTCTAATTGAATCGTTGGATTGAAAACAAGTGTCCGACTGCAACAGCGAGTATTTGGCAGTCTAAGGATCTTATTCAATTTTATCTTCATTAGAAGTAGACTCGTTGAGTTGAATTGCAGATAATTAACGTCCTGATTTCCACCTTTGTAGCTGGGTGCCGATCTAGTGAGGTTGTATTGTGCCTATTTTATTTTTTATGTATTAAATCATAGATGCCAACTGGTAAAAATATCCATTACGATGGTCAAATTTTCTGGATAAAATCTATTGGACAATCTTAGTGTTTGCAACTGCTTCTAAATTCGCTTGTTCTGATTTGGATTTTTGATATTACATGTAAATTTTATTTGTTATTTGTAAAAGTTTATAAATATTTTAACTGTTAAATAATAAACCATAATTTATTTATATTCTCTTTGAATCTTATTTTTAATGGTTACGACAATTCTCTTTTTGCAAAAATTATATATAACTTTGAGTTAATCAGTTAATTTTGTCCTTTTGACATTTATAATTCTCAACTAGCTTTTTAAAAATAAAAAAGAGACTTATTGGCGTCCATATACTCTTAAAAATATTCCCCAAAAATGTTATTAGAAAAGCCTGAATTGACGACTGAAAAAACTAATTAGATTTAGAGGATTAAGGTTAGTAAATAGTTTGATATAAACATATCTGAGAGCTAGTCAAAATTAAATATAATTAATGAACAAAGGTAATTAACTGTTAATTATTACAATTGCTATAAAAACAAAATACGAGTAGTCATTATATTTAAATAAAACAAAAACCTTAAATGCTGGAAATAATCATAATAAATATTGAGAGAGAAAAAAAACACTCATTATTAAAAAGCCAATTTTATTAGATTACAATCTTTTAACAGTATCACAGAAACCTGTTTTAATAACAATATAATCTCCATCATATTTTCTTAAGGTAAGTCGAGTATGAGTTTTTTTCTCATAAAACTAAAACTAATCAATTTAAATCTATTAAAAATTCTACTTTGGTAATTTATGTTAGAAAATCTGAAAAAAATAAATAAATTAGATCATCAAAAACCAACAGGAATATCAGGGCTCATAGGCTAAGGGAATTGATACAAATACCTGGTATTAAGAATGAGATAAAACAACTGAAGATTCTCTGATTAAAAATAAGACGATTAAACGAAACATGCTTAGATAAAATATTTCATTTCCGGGGTGTTAAAGTAAGATGGTTATATTTTTTTATTTCTCAGTATAATTTTACTAAATCCGGCAAACATTTTTGGTGTTATAAGATATACCTATCAGCAAAAACATTTGTTAAATAAACTTTGCCAGTGGCGTACGGCATGAATAAGTAACATCTTCACCCCCTCTAAATTTTACGCAACTTTTCAAAGACGTATTTAAAGTTAAACAAATAATGATTGAGAGTAAACCGCGTTGTCATATCTCAATTTTATGTTACCAGTTTCTAGCAGAATCAAAATATAGTAAGCAGTAGAGTCGTAGGTTGTGGCAAATTATAGATAATAAACAATCCTAGTACGATTAAAAGATATTATTTCTGTCAAAAATCAGTACTGAGTAATACTTATACATTTTCTGATCATTTAGAATTAATTATTTTATGTATTGTTCAGTCTTTATTATAACTAGTGGCAACGCTGTACGGAACGATATTTGTGTCTTTGTCAGTTTCGCGTAAAATCTATCTTATCGATGCAGTGCTCAGTAATGTACTTGCAACCACGAGCGTATCATCAGGTTTTGAATTATACAGCGCGAATCGTAAGTTTAACAGTTAATTTAGTAAGTAATCGACGTGTTGTGGTAACAATTGGTGAAAATAAGTGTTTAAAAATTAAATAATTATATTTCTACACCGTTCTAAAACTACTCAAAAAATGGGAGACATTGCAGGGCCTTCAACGTGGAAAATGGTGAAACGGTCGAAGTCTACGTCGCTAAGTGAAAAACAAATTGTACTTCGAGTATTTTACTGTCTTGAAACAGATCATCAGCGACCAAAAGATGACTTAGTGCATATGTGCTGTAATTCTAGGGGTGTACCTCCGAATAACCAACCGGGCGTTCCAACATCATTAACTTCCACAATTGCAAAAGATAAATTAGTTGATATGTGCTGATTATACGGGTAAACCAAAATCATCGGTTTACGAAATACTAAGAGAAAACAAAATTCATGGAGAAGTACAAACGCTAAAAACTAGTAGCGGACGAAAAAAAATCACAGTTGTTGGAGCAGCTAAAAACAGTATACGCAGAACTATTCAATTTCTTTTTCAGAAATGAGCTGCCCACTTTGCAATAAGTTCTGGATGCAGTTAGTGTAATGAGCATTTTATACTAGTTAAAATTTTATTTTTTTCATATATTTATATTTATTATTCAAACAGAAAAGATAATAAATATTGTTATGGTTATTGGAATTTGTATTTCGTATTTTTGTATTTAATATTTAAAAGTAACTTTTCGAATGCACTCTGTATTCCACACACAATCGAATGTTCTTTGCGCGTATGACGCTAAGCAACGTCAGAGGGATACGAGACGTATAAAAGGAAATGCATCAAAAAAGTCGGTGGCTTTTGTTTTGTAAATTCATCCCACCTCTTTCTTTCTTTTCTTATCCCCGGAGAGTTTAGTTTTAATCAAAGTGAGGTTATCAAGTGAATGGTTTAATAATTGGCTATAGGTAAAGTAGATCGTTTTCTTTATTTAATCTTTAAGGTGAATTCTTAGCTGAATGCTGCGTTAGAGCGTTGTCTAAGGGTATTTGTTGCAGGAATTTTTTTAGTGATTAACGAATGTATATTCCATTAAATAGGTCTATCTCGTTAGTTAGGGCTAAATTGCAGTAATTTGAGTTGAACAAGAAAGTTTTTCTACTCTATAGAGGTTTTTTTTTTTCGAGAAAAAGTCATTTTGCCTTCTAACTCAAGCCAAAGGATTTTGACCTTTATTGCTTCGTTATTGGACATGGCTCATTTTAAGTTTAATACCTGCAACCAATTTTAACATTTATCGTTTCGTTATTTAATATTGTTTTTCCGGTGAGCAGGGATTTATCGATTTGTGTCAATTTGTCGATGGCTTATTTACAGTGATTTTATTTTTAAGGAGGTCCTTTCGCCACAAATGTTAAAAAAAAAGTTATTAGATCATGACTAAAATTAATTTTTTTCTAATAGTTGAAGTCCTTATTTATCTAATACTGAACTTTTAACTATACCTTACCTTGCAAATTTTTGAGAATTTTTTTTTTTAATGTATTTGTACAGTGCCTCACGAGAAAGTAAGTCCTAAACAACAATTCTCGAATTATACTATTATTTATTGATTAGATGGAGTAGAAAAAAACTAAAAATAAGGTTTTTGAAATATTTAGATTTTGTTTTATACAATAAAATATATATAGTAAACCGTGGAACTTATTGAGAAATTAATATTAAAAAATTTTCAAGTAACCTAGTTGAAAATTTTTTGTGATTTTTTAAAAATAATTTCTTAATAAATTCCACGGTAACCTATATATTTTATTGTAAAAAACAAAACCTAAATATTTCAAAAACCTTATTTTTAGTTTTTTTCTACTCCATCTAATCAATAAATAATAGTAAAATTAATTATAATTCGAAAATTGTTGTTGAAGTCTTACTTTCTCATAAGACACTGTACAAACACACACATTTAAAAAAAAAAATTCTCAAAAATTTGCACGGTAAGGTATAGTTAAAAGTTCACTATTAAATAAATAAGGACATCTACTATTAGAAAAAAATTAATTTTAGTAATCTAATATTTTTTATTTAACATTGGTGGCGAAAGGACCTCCTTAATTTTATGATAATTTGTTCATTGTTGTTTCTCCATACAAATCGATGAAACGCTAATTACTGGATTATGGTAATTTATGATGAATTTATTCTTTCTAGTGCGAATTATATCACAGAAACTGCCGAAGTGCCCAGAAATTCTAAGAATCCCACCAGCCGGCAGCTCAAGTTTCTTTTATCAGCATACATGTGTTAACAATGATTATTTTTTACATTTTTCAGTCTGATGTTAGCTTTCAATTAATAAAGACATAATTATAACTCTGTTTAAATAAAAAATATTTTTTTTAAAAAACGATTTTTCAAATCGTGTTATATTTTTCAACGTTTCGCACCAATTTCGAACTTTCCATCGCGAGAAAAGTTTTGTGGTGCTACCAAAGAACTGTACTGGAGACTTCCTCGGTTAAGACGACAGCCGGACCTTCGATGCAAACGAAAACCGTACTGTAAGTTTTATTTTTCTTAACATTGATTCCTTATCCTTTAGTGATCACGAATCTGATTTAGAGCTAGATTTTGTAATTGAAAGTTTTAACTCGATTAATATTAACGATAATAATTATCCAACTAATTTTAGTAAATTGACAAATATTTTAAATCAAACAATGACTCCTCCCCCTAACTTTCAAAAAGTTCACGCGGAGACCATACCTGATTTTTATGGCGACGAAAACGAGTTGCAATTTTTCCTAGAAAGTATTGATAGCATAGTTACCCATTTTTATGATAACGTAAATATTGGAAACTATCAGAATGTTATAATATTTAGAACGATTATAAGTAAATTGCATGGACCCGCTCGCGAAGTAATTAATATTAGTGGAGCCACTAAAATAAAAGAAAAATAAGGAAGAGTTGATTATGAATTTTAGTGATCCCTGAAATGAAAGTTGTTTATTGTTGGATTTAAATAATTTAAGGCAAGCTCCTAACGAGAGCCCATATGAATTTTATGAAAAGGTCAGGAAATTATTAAACACTATTTTAAACTACCTCGGTTTGCATGAACTCAACTTAGATATAAGAAAATTTAAACAGAAATCATATAACGAACAAGCTCTTCAAGTATTTTTAGCTGGGTTAAGAAATCATTATGGTATCATGGTTCGTACCAAAGATCCCAAAACACTGCTCGAAGCAATTAATTTTATAAGAAAAGAGGATAATATTAAATATTTACAAAATGCGCATTCAAATAACTCTCACATTTCAATAAAAAGCCCCAACCACCAACATAGATAGAATAACTCTAATAAAACTATTCCAAACTATCGCCTAAACAATAACAATCAGTTTGTTAACAGAAATCAAAATTTTAATAATAACCAACAAACAAATTTTAATCAACCTAACACTAGCTATTATAGAAATAATAACAATAGTAATTATAGAGGTTCGTTTCCTACTGGTCCTGTAAACTTTCAACCTAGACCAGTAGCTAATTAAAGATTTTTCACAAACCGACAGGTCTTTGGACCTCAACAAAACGTTTGGGAACCAAATCCTAATTTTAATGAAAATAATTCACCTAGGCCTACTCCAATGAGTACGACTTCCCGTCAAATTTCTGGCAATTCCAGAAATCAATTACCCCAAAATCGTAGATGGGTATCTGAAGAATTAAATAATGTCGAACATTGTGATTTGGCAGATAATTCAATCGATTTTGTGAGCAGCAATTGCGAATACGAAATTGTAGACTCTCCTTGTGGCGATAATTACCAAAATTTTCAGGAGCCCAGCTTCCCAAATCCCAAACCATGATAGAATTTTATAATTCACTTGATAAAGGACAATTACCTTATATTGCAATAAATAACCCACCATTAAAACTTTTATTAGACACCGGGGCAACTCGATCATTTTTATCTCCAGAAGCTGTTGATAAATACTTTTCAAAAATTAAAATAAAGTAACCATTTATTATTTCAACTGCTTTTAGCTCCTCCAATCATAACTTTTCAGTAACCATTCCGGCATTCCCAGAATTCCAAACAAAACAGAATATAAAATTTTTTGTATATAAATTTAATTGCATATTTGATGGACTATTAGGAATAGATTTATTAAATTCATTGAATATTCATATTGATTTGCCAAATGCTCAAATAATTTCAAATAATAATATTTCTTTGCCAATTAATTACTTTAATTCCACGCCAATAGAAATAAAAC